TCAATATAAAATTTTAAAACGATTAACAGCTACTATAATAATTATGTTCAATAGTTCAATGATATAAATATATATCTACCATATAATCATAATATTATATAAGCTTTATATCACTTATTATTTACAATAGATAAATACTTTTTTGAAAATAATATTCAAACCTCAAATTAAGGTTTTCAAACCACCTCGCATAGTTGCAGCACCAATACTGCTACCGGCCGTTTATGGGTACTTAACATGATACACACATAATATAATATATTACCTATTATATTATAGGTAGGTATAACGCCAGAGTGAGCAGCTATTATCAGTTATCACGCGATTGACACAACGGCGGTTGTAGTTGATTTTTATTTAGCATAATAATTATTTTAAAAGGCAAAACACGTTTTGGAAACGTCTCAATAATGATAATAATAATAATAATAATATAAGTATACGCATTCTGGAACAAAAAATATGTACAGCAACAATGTTATTATACTTAAATCGTTCGGGTTGTACACGACGGAGGTAAATATATAGTAAATATCCCATCGTGTCTCTTGAGAAATAATTTATACTCGGCTCGTTAATGGATGTTTTGGCCCGTACACTCGCGGGCATGAGTGTATACCTATATATACGAGACGTCTGCGCACCGAAGCTGCGAATGTTTACGATAATATGTAATATTACTATTATTATTATTATTATTATTATTATTATTATTATTATTATCTTACGTAATAAGGAGGAGATTCTAAAATTAAAATGCAGCAAATATTCCACCTCCCCATGTTCTGTCCCGTTGCTCTTATTTTCTTTTTTTATTTATTTTTATTGCTCGGACCACACACACCTCACCGAACCCTGCACGGGGTTGTCTAAAATTAATCTAGGAAACGAATACGAAAATACTCATTTTATTTTGCTGTGGTGGGGTGATCGTCGTTTTATATACGTGTGGTATCCAATATTATTACGCATAGTTAGAAGTACCTACTTCGCAGCATATAACGAACTCCATTAACACGTCTGTATACTTGATATTGCATTAGAACGTAATGGGTATCTATGTACCTAATCTACTTATAGTATCAATATCAAAATAAATGCATTCGACACACACCGAAAAAACGAACAATTATAAAGGATAGTAGGTTTAGAACTTCAGTTTGGATTTTTGAAAAACTAATTTCAATTCAGATTTCAGTATATTTTTTAGAAATAAACAAATATTCAGGTTCTACAATGGTACTTTAAAATTAAAAATCGTTGTTTTGGTTAATGCCGATTTCATAAATTTATATTATAATTTACTAACATATATATTCCAAAATATAATAATTATTATAAATTCGTTTAAAGTCATTATAATTTGAAAATTTTGTAGGTTTTTAAATTTAAATATTTGTTTTTGTTTTTAAAATCTTTAGTATAGGTTATTACTATGGAATTTTTCTTCCAATATTATCATTGAGTCATCCTGCTTCTTTTTGATAAAATGTAGTCTTTATATGATATCTATAAACATTCAATATAATATAACCTTACACAAATTACCTGTCTACTCATTGTAGAGTATTCGGATTTAGTGCAGTAATCAGAAATTGTATATACTTACGATAAATACAACATAGCACTTGGTAGTTGGTACAAAATACTTATTTTATTATTCTTATAGTTATTCAAATCCATACATTTTATAGTAAATATATTAGTTGGTAAAGAATTTATTGTGATCGGAACAACACGTATCACGGATTTTTAAATTATATCACGCATCAAATGGTTTCAGGAAATTATATATTTATGATATAATATTGTATTTATGAGCTCATTTACATAATTTTTTTTACAAAATCGATTCCTGTGCAGATGCCGCGAGACATACCTACAGTTTTGGTGCATCATTACAGCTCGGCGGGTCACTGCTGCCGGATATTATATTTTATTCGTAGTACAATAACGAATAATATAATATATCCAGAAGAATAGTCCCGCACGTGAAGTTAAATAATTCTTAAAGAATAATATAATATTATAGTTGGCACAAAAGCCGAATCGAATATTTTCACATACTGCACCATATTCTTATGATATAACATGATATTATATGCGTGTATAAAATATTATTATTGTCAACAATCGTTTTATCGGTTTTAAATTGGATTTTAAAAGTTTTTGAAAAAAAGAAACAAATTATATTATTGTCATTTATTAATCGTACAGATATGTATTATTGTATGACTGCAGCTGTAGTATACGCCTACATATTCTTATTACATTGAAAACGGTTTTAATTAAAAGTTTAAAAACTGTACATTGAAATATGCATTGCAGTATAAGCCCAATTATATGTACAATGGTAAACGGTTTTGTTCGTTTTATTTCTTATGTATATACCTACATAGTTACTATAGCAAGACATTTTGTTAAAATACAAGTTTTTTATGGTGACTGTAAATAAAACTTATATAAAAAGTAAAATATATGATAAGAATATACCTACATTTTACAAAAACTGTTAAATATTTTATTCTTATTTTTAAGACTCTTGCACGTTTACTTTTTACTTGTTCAAAGTTTTTGAAGTTTAATTTTAATTATTTGATAAAGGTGTCGAGCTTTGTCGTCGGTATATACCCACCGTGTAAATCCTAAATATACAATACAATAAAAACCTTAAAAATACAGGACGATATTATTAATTGTAGTGATATCATTTTACCTATATAGGAGGCTGATATTATGAAATTCAATGTCATGATGAATAAGCGTCCATCACAAATAAATATAAGTGTCTATACATTTTAAGTTTAACAATATAATCATATTTCATTATTTGTATACCTTTAGCTTATATTTTCTAAAACGGCAATAAAATATTATTATACCTCAAATTAGCCTAGCAAAAAAAAAAAAAAATATAAAGCTCCTAAAAACTTGAAGTTTTTCAACATATTACAGAATTTAAATAAAATAATAAAGACAAGATAATTGATAAGTGTGAACCTATAGATAATAATATAATATCAGTAAAATAAATATTAACGTTAGATAATGAATGTTGTTTTCTTCATATATTTTAATGAAGGCTATAAAATAAAAAGGTTACAACTAAAATAGTCTATTATGTTTTGTTTTAAGTACAGTCATATGTGTTTTATACAAGACACCTGAAGAATTAGAGGGAAGTAAAGTAGATTACTTTAGATGTCACGCTTTTATTTTCCTCTATTGTATTATTCAGAATATTAATAAACTATCCTATCGTTTAAAAGTTTAGAAATAGTAGCATATATAGATAAAGTTTTCAAACTAAATTTTAACTAAGTGCTTACTTCATTTATCATTATAAAGTAAAATATATAACATTATTAATATTTCATGAGAACAAGTACCTAATATTATAGTAATTAGTTTCATATTTTATACATTTTTTAAAAAAATGTTAAGTTTTATTTCTATTACACCATTGAAGGCTGAAGTGACCGTTTCTTTGATAACTTAAAGCATTATTTTACATGAAATCATTAAGCTAAATTTATTTCGTTGGTAAAAAATTACTTAATATATTACCAGTTCCACGTGTGAAAGAAGCACTTCTCTTGTTATACGCCGGATAAAAATATGGTTAAAAACGTCTATGTTACAAGATAGATTCAATTATGTGTCTAACTTTGCCCTACGCAGGTCTATGCGGTCTGTTCTAAATTAATAATTTTAATTCTTCCTTCTAACAATCCAAATTTACGTTTGGAAACTAATAATATAAGCAACTAATTGAAAAAATAATATTTTAATATTCTTTTAGTACACATAAATATTAGGTAATACCAATTGTAAATTAAAGTAATTTTAAAATTTAGTATTACTATTTTTACTGCAATATTTAAATTAACTAAACATACATCGTAATATGCATTGTATATTAATATAAATACATGCCATTTGGGGAACTTCTGATGAATGAAATAAAAAAAAATTCTTTACCCAACCCTGTTAGGTACATGTTTTAGTGTGCATATATTTCGACCAATAAATAATAAATTATTGAATAATTTTTATGATGTGCAGTTTTACACTTTTACCTTATAAAAAGTGTATTTAATATTTCTAGATTATAATAAATATTAGATAATATACAAGTTATCTTGATACCGTTTAAAGTCTAGACATAATATTATAATAAATTATTTTTTATCATATATATTATATTGTGCTATTTTATTATACAATATAAAACGTTTTATTATCACTACACACAAATATTCTTAAGTACAAATCGTTTATAATGCGAAAATAATTGTTGTATTCTATCTTATTTATTATAATAGGATATATTAAATGTATATAAAAAGGTGTCTAAATTGATTTGTTAACACTAGTATATAACTTTATATTTAATTTTTATGTTTTCTTATTTATAGAATAATGATAAATAGCATTGTATATATGATTTTAATTTGTATTAAAAATACTGAGATAATAAAAATATATAATTAATCGTTTGTGAATAGTAGCCATGCATAAGCCATAAAAACTAATGATGAATGATGAATATAAAAACATATTTATGTGCAATAAAGAAAACAATGATGACAATTAATTGGACAAAAAAAAAAAAAACACAGTAGAAAATATTTAAATATAAATAATAATTTATAAGTCAGACTTATAGCGTAATTTTTGATATTATTTCAAATATTAAGTACTTATAGGTAGCCAAATCGTGTATACTTTTATAATATAATTTAAACCTATACACCACGTCACGAAATACCTATTTAACAACAGGATTTAGTTCATTTTGATATTTTAGCAGTGTATTTTTTATTTGGTCCAATTTAAATCGTTAGTTTTTTTAAATATTATTTTGATAGCACAAAACATTTTATTTTATTTGTCATATTTTAATGTGTGTTTATGTGTATGCAGAATATTATTTCTCATCTTATACATATTATTATTATTATTATTATGTTTTAATACGTATATTATGTACACAGACATAAAAATAAAAACGCAGTAAACCGATAAACCTGTCCGTTTAAAATACAATAAAAAATATATAAAAATTAGTCGTATTGAAATCATTGTACGCGGGATTTATGCCCGTAGTAAATATAATAATAATAATAAGTGTATACAACCAATAATAAAAATATATAAAAAAAAAAAATAGTAATAATTTTAAACGGTACGCTGTAAAGAAACACACATTTATACTAGCTATTATATACGCGGTGGTGATATGTATGTGTAATAATATATTATGTTATGTATGTATGATACAAAATGGTTCGTAATAACAACCGTTTAAACACTGATAACGCCGTCGTAAACGGGACATTTTAACAGAGCCATTTGAACCGGTGGTATTAATTTTTATTGCTCATTGTGCGCGGCTACATAATAATATTAATAATATTAAAGTGGGAAAGACGCTGCCGACTTGCAGCAAATCGGTCGCTATAATAATAATAACTATTATTATTATAGTGATTATGTGTTAATGACGCGATTTCTTTTGCCGAATCATCGTCGCGGTATCCGTCGTACAGGTAGCGTTCAACAATCCATGATTTTTTTCCTGATTCTGGTCCGGTCGAGTCCCTGAAATCACAAAAATATATTTTACGGCTGAAGTACAAAATAAATACTAAAATATGCAACAAAGTTTTGGCCAAACTAGATCGATATTAAAAAAAATTAAAAAAAACTTAAAACAGGTTAACTGTATAATATATTTATACGTATACATTTGTATAAACACTATAAACGAATAAAAATATCATTGTACCTATACAAATATTATTCGATTTTTTTTTTTTTATTATTAAGAAAGACAATTTACAATTTGTACACAGTAATTACAATAAGCAAATTTGATATTTACATAAAATAAAGTAACATAAATAACGTGCTGAAGAAGAAACCCATATGGTAACATTTATTCGATATTAAAAATTGAAAAGAAATCAATAATATTATAGAATAAGCAATTGAAAATATATTATGGCAACACAAGTGTTTTTACGTTTACCTTCAGATTACAGAAGTTATGATATAATGATTTTATATAATAAATATTAAAATACATAACAAATCAATAACAATTGTATATTTTTTTTTTTCAAAAATTTTTTATGTAATGAATATGAGTAATTGAAATAATTGAAATTACTTGTATTAAAATTTTTACAAACACAAAATTGACCAATGTATTTTTTAATAAGTGTAAAACATGTTTAAAAAAATCATCTTGTGTATTTAAAAATTGAAATTTAGGTATAACTGTCCTGTACATACTTTAACATACAGTATAAATAAATTATTATAATTATATTGTCAAACGAGATAAGTAAACATAATTTACGACGTTAAACTATGAAGTGGTTTCTCTATTATTTTACAAATTCATATGTACCTATATACTCGTACAACGATATTAACGGCATTCGTTATCCATGTACTGTGTAAAAATCAGACCGCGGTATCTACATATGTATATTATGTGTATATTAGATATTCATTGTGCATCGTTAAAAATATAATTACCACTATGCAGGACTAAATGACGATTGATAATACACGCATAGTTCCGACCGGACGTGCGTATTTTACATGGGGTTTTTTCTCTCTGCACACATTACGAGTGTGTGTAAAATAATTTTAAATCGTAAGTTATGGAAAACCCACATAGCAATTGACAAATTTACAGTTGCAGTTTCGATCACCACAATTGAATATGTACGAATACCTGGGTATATAATTATATTACATATCTACATATTCGCCCGCGTGTAAAAATTTATTTTTATTCAATTTTTACTAGTGTAGGTATATATAAAAATATAACACTCAATTGATTACTAATATATAAGTATACACAATATTATTTATATTATAGGTAGGTACATATTGGAGAGATTAAAATATATTCTTCAAGTATATTTAGATTTATTTTTTTTAGTATGAATTTAAATAATATTTATCGTAAGTTATTTGAATTCACATAACATAATATAGGATATTAAATGTAAATATATAGGTATATATAAACATAATAATAACTTTAAAATACCTATAGGCTATACCTAACTCGTATAGTAAAAATATATAATAAGATATTTTTCTGTATTTTACGTTGTTTTTAAGTATATCAAATATTATTATTATATTATTCCACCGTGGTTTCGGACGCGGTAATACAACGAATCAAAATTTATATACTATAATTTATTCGAAAACATAATTTTACATCGTCTATATATATATATATATACGTGGATACCTACTGTGAATATATTTTATTTACACATTTGAACAAACTTATATTATATATATATAGGTATGTGCGTGTATTATTTATATGATATGCATGTACCTATATAGTATATACTATATTATATAATACTAGTTTCGTTAAAAAACAATAACTTATAATATTTTTATTACGCCGTTCGACAGACATATCACTGTAAAACACTAGGAATAAAAATATTTATCATGAGGAAAAAAAATTCAAAATATTATTTATAAACATGGACCTCTGCATGCTGCGGCAGAGACAATAATAATGGCCGCTATGTGGGTCCGAGTCCCGCCCCGTATATACGCAGACACCGATGGTAATCCTATACTCGCCGCGGTATATATATTATTCACACACGTCTAAAGAAATATATAATAATCAGACTATTGTTGCCGTGCATGACACAAATCGTCCTTTGTGGTCATCGCCTCCTCCCCAACCACCCTTTTTTGGTCTCGGACATTTTTGTGCTCGAATTATTTAGGTCACCTATTGTATGCGCATTTAAAAGCAAAATAAATTACAAACCCTGGGTATATCATGTAAGTATATATATATACATATAAATATGTATATGCATTATATGAAACGTGTTCGAATACCTGGACATGAGTGTGCGTGTGCAGGTCCGATTTAAATAATTATTATTGTTGCAATACTACACTTCGTGGTATACATCTATTTCACGTTAGATAATATTATATCTATTGAAATATTATTAACAATTAACATAATATGTTGGAGATGTGCTTATAATGTGGTACAAATGAGGACGAAATAAATACGCTATACATTATAGCTTTTTATTATATTTTGAGTAAATCAATCAATTGTAATCCAAATTATCATACTTAATATTATATACGGGTTGGTTAAGATTTTCTCCTTACAAAGAGTAATATTATTATTATATTTTACAATTTATTTTTATTATCGCTGTAGATAATAATAAAATATAATATAAAGTCATTCATAATTGAGTAACAATGTAATTTTATCTACTTATTATATTACAATGCATAATTGTGACTTAGAAATTATAACTTTAAATAATAATATTACCACCTATAGTATTTATAACTTAGATACGTTGTGACATATTTAGATACAATAAGTAAAATGTGTAAAATATGTACCTATAGTTGAAAAAACACCGACTCTATCTTTATTTAAATTGTACGGCTCAAAAATATAATATGTTCACACACGTACGTTATATTTAATCAAAATGACATTGCTATTTATACCTTATATAAAATATATTATATTAACCAACCCATATAGGATACATATTTTATTGATTTCAAACATATACTGTTTATAGATATAATAAAGTAATATAGATGCTAATGAAATTTTCTGGGAAAAATTGTGGTGATAAATAATGTCTGTGAGCAGAGTGAACAAATGAGTTTGCGCGTCATACAGTTTTATTATGATAGATGGATTGCAATGATCAATAATATGAAGCTATTGAGTTATTGTGTAATTTATATATATATATATGAATGAATTTTTGTATATATATATATATATATATATATATATATATACATAATTTGTTAAAATTATGTGGAAAACTTAAGACGCTTTTTTATCGTATTAATATTTTTGTCCAATGACATTATACATACTATATTGTGTTAAACTCACTACAATTTAAATTTGAAAAAATGTAGATTTCCAGAATTTTTAAATTAAAACTTTGTTGTATAGTTTAATTTAGTAGCTCCCGACTTCATTTGGCGTAAATATGTATACACATGTTCAGCTATCGTCGACGCGAGGAGTACCATTTTCATTTATACATAATACTTAAGGCACGCAGCGCGTATACAAAAAGCAATTTTCATTATTAAACGTAACAAATAGTAGTGCGCCGCAGTGGTGTAATAATAATAACCGTGACGAGAATTGTGCGTATATACAGCACAGCATCACCGGTCCTGCACATATATACAGCGACTGAGCCCGGGGGCGGTAGAGGTCAAAGAACGATCGTCCTCGGCACATGCGGTGGCGGCAGGGGAAGGATAAGGACGGCGACTTGCGAACAGCGGTGAGAGTACGGGGCGAGTGGTCGCGGGTTGTCGAGGGAGGGGGCGCAAACTTTGTTCAATTTCCGACGAGAGCTCTTGGGGAGAAAATCCATTGGCCGGGCGCTCGCGAGAGATACGAGTTAGAGACCGCACATCAGCGTTAAAACCCAACCCGCCGCAGCCTCTACGCGGGCCGACCGGCGCACCATCTGCGTCCCTTTTTCGCGCTCACTATTATGTATACACTCACAGCGATCTCCCTCTTTTTCTCGCTCTCAGTTACTCTCTCCTCCCGCCCGCGCCGACGTGAGCCCCATGGATTCATCCCCCGGGAAAAACTGCCGCTACTACCGCACCGTGTGCACATTTTCTCGTGGAGAGTTTTAATAAATTAAACCGATCGCGGTCTGTTGTATATACAATATATATCCACGCTTATATATTATGAGAGACGAACTTTAAACGGGCGCGCGTGGTGACAAACCACAACCGCGGACACGAAACGTACGGTATATATTAGATTATTAACCATGCGCGGTATGTATATAGTGTTGAATAATTTATAGACTATTATTATACGTCCATAATTGGTACCTACAGCTAACACGGTCACTGTGCAAAACGGCACACGATAGATAAATGCGCGCAGCACACTCTGCCACTGCAAGTTTACCGCGAATATTAGCCTGGACGGTTTCGTGGTGGGAGGAATTATGCGAATTAAAGGACCCGGCGATAAGACGCAAGTAGTTAACGCGGTATATTCAACGACTTGAGCGGTGATTATAGAGGTTATACACCTAAAGTTGCTACACCCGTGTTAATATTGTTGTTGATCAAGAAGTCCGGTGGGAGGTATAAATAATATTATTAATATTATATCTCGACTAAAAGGAACGGCACATAACATTTTTCTTCAAAATTTAGTTTTTTTTTTTATCGTACGCCGTTACTCAAAAAATTGCCTTTAACTTTTGAAGTTTGACTTAACATGGTCGACAAAATAAAAAAGTTATACACTCAAAACGCCTGCGAGTACAGTGTATATCTAGTGAAACTAAATTTGTTTCTACTCTCTTGTATACAATTAAGTAAAAGTTATTTGATGTCTTATGTAACCAAATTACTCACATTAAAACATTTCACTTTTTTTTTAGATCATTTATGGCGCACAAAGCTATAATATAGTGACAAGTACAATATAGTTGATTTATTAATATAACATCATAGTTATATTACATGCATATTATATAATTATA